TTTATTTATACAAAATAACTATTTGAGACATTTTAGGGAAAAACTCCTTTTTCTTCCAAAATCCACCCTGGGTATCAAAATCAACAAATTTATCACAACAGAACCTCACATCTACTCTCATAACCACTTTTAGTTCATACATTGAAAACCCCTCTTTTGATTTTAAACCAAAACCCTAAGTTTGTTCAAAATCATCCAAAGTTCTAATATTCTTCACACATCCACAAATAACTAAGTTAAAATTCATAGATGGGTGTAGAAAATCCCTACCTCAGGCTTAGAAGACCAAAGAAAGAGATGCAGAGACATCAAAGATGCCAAAAATCAACTCTATTCGAATCAACGGACAGCCCTCAGAGTGCTCTACCTTTTTAACAAAGGCACACAGGTAAAGAAACCACCAAATGTTGGTGAAAATGTAGAGAGTGTGAGTTTTAGAGAGAGAGGCTCTAGATCAAGGGTTTTAAGAGGAAAAGATATGAAAAAGTGATATCAAAGGGTGCTGCTGCGAACTGATATACCCACAGTCCGCTCGAGTGCAAGAAGTGACGCTCAAGCATCAGACACAATAAGTTGTTCTGCTCAAGCGCAAGAAGTGACATTTGAGCGCAGAATGCACACTCCCAGTAGTTTTGCAGACAACAGACTAACGCTCGAGCGGAAGAAAGACTGCTCGAGTTGAGACCGCTCGAGCGCAGAAAGCACTGCTCGAGCATAGAATACACTCTTCTAGTAGTTTTGCAAACCTACAAAAGTACTGAGAGTTCACAAAGTCCGCACGAGCTCAAGAAGTGCCGCCCGAGCGAAGGGGTAAAATTATGGGCAACAAAAGTTTGAAAACCAAGCAACCAACATGTTCCAAATACAACTATTACAATCCAATAGCCGAACTTAAGGAAGTATGAGGGGAAAAGACATGAACAACACTACGAAACCACGAAATCCGAGTCCAAGATACAAAAGGGTCGGGTTAAAACCGGAATCGCTATAATTAAAGTATGAAATTAAGAAAAAAAAAGATCCCCTAATGGGAAGCTTCGTGGAGCTCTCACAAAATTATATTGAAAAACATTAAGCCATGACTATTTATACATCAAATAGATAAAATTTGTTTGAATATAGATTACTTTTCTCAAGTGTACAAAGGTTCTAGAAGAAAACCAATAATGTACAACAATGTAAGCATTAAAATTTTTGAATAAAAAATAAGAAACCTAGGCACTTTAAAATACCATTAAATGGATGGAACATATACTTGAGTCTCAGTGGCATAAGTCTGTCTAATAAGCCATCATCAGGAGAATTGTTTTAAATTTATTAGTAACGCTTATTCAAGCTCAGATTGTATGCCTTGAATCCCAAAAAAAAAAAAAAAAAAAAAAAAAAAAAAAAAAAAAAAAAAAAAAAAAAAAAAAAAAAAAACAACAACAACAACAACAACAACAACTAACCATGGGGCAACAATTGGGTAGAACTTATAGGAACCCTTGACAAAAAACCAAATAATTGAAAATAAAGGACATACAAAGTAAAGAGAAACATAGATTCAGTTAAGAAATTGAGAGAGATATGCAGGCAAAGTGAGATACAAAGAAAAAAAGGAAAAAACCTATAGGGACAGACTGAAGCACCGATGGTCTCACACAACAATAGCAAACGGCAGAAACCTGATGGTCAACAAACATCTATGTAGGTGTGCGATTGTGAGGGTGAGAGAACTACGAATCGTGAGAAAAGGTTGTGCAAAAGTAAAAATCGTAGAGAGTGATGAGGGGGTGTACCTACCTAGGAAAGGACAAAAAAAAGGGGGGGAGGGGAGGAATTTGGAAGGGAAAGGGAGGGAAACTTTCCTCCGCCTTTGTATTTTGGGGAAAAACAACAATTTTTAGAGGTTGATGGAGAAAAAAAAAAAAAAGAAGCAATTTTTAGATTTTTTTTTTTGAACAAATTAAAACTAAGAAAAATAAAAATCATTTTTTTAAAATTTTTTAAAATTATTTATGACCTCCTGTAACAAGCCCGCGGGGGACCTCGCTACAGCTCGGACTCGATTTGTAGTCACGGTTCTAAATCTGAACCAAAGAGTCCAAATCCGGCAAATCGTTTTGAGAAAACAGATTTTTGAAAGAAGTGCCAAACATGGACTGCTTTGCCAGATACAAAGTCGCCACCTAAATATTTTATTTTGGGAAATTTAGGAAATCCTGACTCGGTGCCAAAAGGCCACGTGTCCGTCATCACCAAAGTTGCCTCGGCTCGGGAACTTGGGTACGATTGGGGAAGGTCACTTCGTGAGCACCCCCGCTCGCCCGGTCATAGACCGGCCTCTACTAACCATGATATCTATTTTTGAAAACATTGTATGTTCTTATTCCGGTTATTAGCCTAGGTTACTATGTGATGCGCACAGCATACAAGTATAGACCAGGTCGCCTGGATTGGAACAAAAACATCTCATGTTTATTTTTTGAAAGATGGTTTGCTACTCGCAAGTAGGCTAAAAATGCAGATTTTGCCACCCTCGGGTGGGCATAGAAAACATGATTTAAAAACACAAATCACGAAACCACCTCGTTTCACTAGCATTTTTTTTTTTTTTTGAATCAGCAAAAAATTTATTGATGATAATCGTGAAGGGTAAAAGATATATGCATCAATTAATAAAGTGAGTGGAAAAAACATCTTAGTTAATCTAGAGATCCCAACTAAATTGACACCATGGGATTAACCCAATCATCTGCTACCACACCACATGGATAGTGAGGAGCCATCCAGAAAGAGGACACCAAAGACCCAAAATCACACACGTGAGCTAGTCGAGGGTGTGTGCTAGAATCCCCTTCGATACCAAAGTTAGCAAATAGACTAAGGAAGCAAAAGCTTTGTGGATTCGGGAGTAAGAATTGCAATACCTAAGATTATGATTTGGTTTGAGCTTTTGTAGATTTCGTAAGACATAATCTTAGTAGGACTCTAACTCTCCTTTGTGGAGTCCTTCTAGGAATCACATTCGTAAAGGATAATGCTTATCCTTTGACACCCTCCTCACTACAAGCCAAGTTAGATGGCACAACTTTTTGCACGGCTTCTAGTTGAGCAACCAAACTAGTTGACTCTGTCCGCCATTGACTTAGCGTACGACATAGACCGTGCACAGCTTGCTCGACGCACCACCATGTTAACATTGCGCAGCTCGTCTCCTAGCTCGGTCAAAGCTTCTCCTAGCACCATTTGATTGCCTTCCTTATAGTTCGGTCATGGCATTGACCGCCATTCAATTGTTGCTAGGTCTAAGAACATGGACATTTGCTAGCCCAATGAAACATCTTAGATTGGTGTAGCCATTACTTGGCCCAAACAAGGCTATCTTCAAGACACAGCTCAGCCCACTGCGCGGCCCAAGCCTTGAAGACACTTTCAACTAGCTCAACCAAATTTGGCTACACAAATTGCTCTCTCACCAACATAAGATAAGGAAGCATTAGAGTGATTAATTAGAATCAGTGTCAATCTGCACGACAACCACTGTAAATTAAACTCAATCCCATCCTCTACCAATTTTTTGTTTTTCGTTTTATCGGTGAAAATCAATTTTTAGTTGTTAGATTAGCATGGGAGTTAGCCTCTCCACCCTTGAACAACCATATATTTGTTCAAATCAAACCATGATTCAAGCAGACACCCTCTGAAACCATTTAAAATTTCCATGATTGTCATCTACATCCATCATTGACGCTTCGTATATTGATCCTGTAAAGAAATCATGAGTTTCACATAATTTTTTGTTCAATTAATTACATAGATGTTCCCTTATTTCTCAATTTCTACTTGATCGCAACGTTTTTGCTCTATTTTTGGGCTTTGACGGAAAACAATGAAAAGTTTGATACACATTGATTTAAGAGTTATAGACGAGGGGATATTTGAATGATGATATTGAGTGAGAGTGAAGGACCGAACTTATTGGCTTGATTTTAATTGTTTCTTTTGATACCTCATTAGGGAGGGATTTTGGTTCACATATCATTTTCTTAACATGTAATTAGAACAAGTCATATTTAAAGTATTACATAAGTGTGTGCATATACTCGCAAGAGAACTAATAGGTATTCCTCCACACACACACACACACACACACACACACACACACACACACACACACACACACAAAACCAACAAAAATACATACCAAAACAAAATGATATAAGGGTGCCTAGAGCCTACTGCAACATGGGGTTATTATGGGTTGGGCGTTTGGCTTGGAAGAAGTATATGCTTGTGGGTTGTAGATGATTTTTGTAGATGTCTGATCCCAAAAAATAAAAAATAAATAAGTAAATAAATAAAAATAAAAAGAAGATGATTTTTGTAGATGTACTTGCTAAATTTTCTTAGAAATTTTTTTGAAACTTCTATATCTTTTTTTTGGGTGAATAAAAACTTCTATATCTTAATAAATTATACAATAGAGTTCAAAGTGAAAGGACTTAGTTCTATAACTTGGTTTAAATATGATAAGGCTTGAGAATTTGACAATTATGAGTTTGCCAATTAGTGTGAGTAAGATTAAAATTTGAAGTCTATGCATATTCCTCAAGACAATGGTGCAACTGAAAAGAAAAAAATCGAGTAATTATTGAAAAAAAAAAGAAAGAGAAAAAGAAAAGGAAGAAGGAAAAAAGAGTGTGTGTGTGTGTGGAAAAATTGCATAAAATGACAAGATAGAAGTCTAATTTTTTTTTTTTTTTATGGTAGCTTTCGTATAGTACCACGTGGCAGCAAAGCTCTGGTCTTTTGACTATCTTGGTTAATCATATACCACATTAGTCAACTTTTGAGTGCCCTCTTGTCACTTTCACTGGAAAATACACAAAGTAGTCCCTTGACTCTCTCACTCTTATGCAGTTTTGCCTTGTTTCATGAGTACAATGCATGGGGGCCATTTTATTTAATGGTGGACCGCCAAGGAAGACAAAGACCAACAATCAATATAACCAACATAATCTAGAAAAAGATATTACATATATGCTGCCAATGATTTTGTCTGTAGAAATTTCACAGAACAGTAGTGAAGCCATTGATGATCTAAAGGGGCCACATCTAAAATGAGATTACCCATATTGGGATTTCTTCAAATTTTTACAATTTTTTCCTGCTAAAGTTAAAAAAAAAAAAAACATAAATAGATAAACAAAATGTTGCCTTGTTGACAACCAGTTGAGGATCAACCAACTAGGTGCTCAAACCACCTCACCTTGAGGATGGTACACTTCTCAGACTGCAGATAGGAAAGTCCCTCTCTCCTCCCTCACATGTTGGCAAGACTTCCAATTAAATTCTTCAAATTACACTTCCTTGATCAGAGCAATCTTCATAGTAATAAGGAGAAAGCTTCCCATCCTTATTTGCTATCCTAGGATTGTTACCTGCCCCTGCCCCTGCCTCTTGTAGCATTTTCACCACCTTACGCATCGAAGGACGGTTAATGGGAAGTGGGCTAACACAGAGGAGGCCGATGTCAAGAACCCTGCTAATTTGCTCCTTGAAAGAAGAACCGAGATTGGGATCAAGCACATGTTCAACTCCTTTCGGGTCCAAACTGTTGCGCACCCATGTCACTAGGTCCTTCTCCCCAAACTCCGGATCAATGGGTTTTTTACCAGTCAATAGCTCTAGGATGACCACCCCAAAGCTATAAATGTCGCTCTTTTCATTCACTCGAAGAGTGTATGCATATTCTGCAGTACATTAAGATCAAACATAGCACCTTGTGTTACTAATAAAAAGTTATGAATGTGTCAAATAAATTTGTATATAGATTAAAAGCAGACTGATCTAAGCATACCACAAAAACTAACTAGTTACACAAATTGCAAGAGAAATACACATCAGAACTAGAAACAATTCAATAATAGAAAATGGAAAACAGCAGTTGGAATAACGAATTTGTCATACCTGGTGCAATGTAACCACAAGAACCGGCAATTGCAGACATGGGTTCTGCCCCCTTGTTGACCGTATTGATAATTTTAGCGACTCCAAAATCAGAAATTCTAGCTCCAAATTCTGCATCTAACAAGATATTATTCGACTTAATATCCCTATGGACAATGGAAGGAACACAGTCATGATGCAAATAAGAAAGCCCCTCGGCAGCATCCAAAGCTATCTTAAATCTTGTAGGCCAATCCAACAAACCACACTTGCCAATATGCAAAAAATCCCCCAAGCTCCCATTTGGCATGTACTCGTACACCAAAAGTTTGCAGTCCTCTGTATTGCAACAACACAATAACCTCACAATATTCTTGTGCCTAATTCTTCCCAATGTCTCGACTTCAGCCTCAAATGCATCTTTCTGTGAATCAACAGTGGCAAAGCTCTGTGAATCAACACTGGCAAAGCTTTCATAATTTTTTTTTGATCTTTCGTTTAGCTTCTTCACTGCTACTAACTCACCGTTACCAAGCTCAACCTTGTAGACTTTCCCAGAAGCTCCACTTCCAATAACATCATCTTCATTAAGGCAATCGAGGATTTCGCTTTCACTAAAACCCAATTTATGAAATGATCTCCACTTCAACATGGATATCCCTTTCTTTGTTTTCCTGAAATTCCAAAACTTGCACACAAACCAAACAATACCAACAACAAAAACCATGCCAGCAAGTGTAAAAATTGATCCAAGTATCCACAAATAAGTATGATTCTTAGCTTCAGTTTTTCGAATGCAAATACCAGGAAGATCACCACATAAGCCCAGATTGCCCAAAAAGCTATCCCTATAAAAATCCTTGGCATAGAGCGGGGGAATGTTGCCAGAGAGATCATTGTAGGATAAATTTAGCATATTGAGCTTCAAATTCTGCAAGTCAAGTGGGATTTTCCCAGAAAAATGATTCTGGGAAAGATCAAGATAATTAAGCATCGGTAAACTCCCAATTTCATCTGGGATTTTACCAGATAACCTATTATTTGCTAAATTAAGCTCATTGAGCTGCTTCAAAGATTGAATTCCTACAGGAATTTCCCCAGAAAGTTCGTTTTTATGAAGATCAAGTGTTCCTAACTGACCCAAATTGACAATTGTTGGTGGGATTTGCCCTGAAAGCTCATTATCACTACCAGAAAATTCAACTAAATTGCCTAAAGATCCGATTTCTTTAGGTATGGTCCCTGAAAACCGATTTTTGGAAATGAACAGAACTGAAAGATTTGATGCACCAGATATCATGTGTGATATATTCCCGTAAAACAAATTCTCACCTAGATCAAGTAAATTAACATGTGGTAAACCCCAAAACTCGGCCGGAACTTCACCAGAAAAGCGATTACCCCTCAATCGAACCCGGTTCAAAGTCCTACATTTTCCAAGAACATCAGGAATTGTCCCCGAAAACAAGTTGTTTATCAAGGCAAGGTGTTCCAAGACCCCCTTCTCGCATAGACTGGCCGGTATTTCACCCGAAAACTGGTTTCCCGATACGTCAATAGTTTGTAACGGCGAGTTCTTGCCTAATTCACTCGGCAACGACCCATAAAGCCGATTGTTGAACACTCTGAGATCGTACAAATTTGGGGACCCAGTTATGTTCTCTGGCAGCAAACCCACGAGTTGGTTGTCGCACAGGTTCAGAGACTCGAGCGGTAACTTGCATAACTCGTCAGGAATGGTCCCAACCAACCCGTTCAACGACGCGTCGAATCGTCGCAAAGCAGTCAGGTTAGACCACCCCAATGGCAATTCACCGGAAAACGAGTTGTTGAACAGCTCAATTTGCACTATAGATTTCAGTTCGAATATCACACTCGGTATCGACCCACTAAGCATGTTACTCGACACGTCGAGATTCGTGAGTCGACTCAGCCTACCAAAATTCGGAGGAATCGAACCCACGAAATTGCAGTGACTAAGCCAGAGATACTCCAAACTCGAAAGGTTCCCGAGTTCCGGAACAAGTCGACTCGGCGTAAACGGGTTATAAGCGAGTTGAAGCGATTTGAGAGTCGTTATGTTGCTAAGAGCCGCAGGGATTGTGCCGTCGAGAAGGTTGTTGACAAGAATGAGAGTCTCGAGTCGGCGGAAGAGCCCAAGAGTTGCCGGAATATCGCCGGAGATGCTGTTTCCTGCGAGGTTGAGGTATCTGAGGTTGGGAATAAGAGAGAAAGTGTATGGAATAAGACCCGTGAGGAGGTTCTGGGCCAAGTTGAGGGTAGTGAGGTTGCGACAGGTAGATATGGTGAGAGGGAGAGAGTAGTTGATGTTGTTGTTGTAGAGAGAGAGGGAAGAGAGAGAAGAGAGGCGGCAGAGGAAGATGGGGAAGGGACCGGAGAGGCTGGAGTTGGAAAGGTCGACGGAGATGACGGAGGAGGTGAGTGGGTCGCAGGTGACGGAGGTCCAGTTGCATGGGGTGTCGTCCTGGTCGTTCCAGTTGGAGAGGACACCGTTGGGGTCGGATAGGCGGAGCTTCACTTGATGGAGGAAGAGAACTTCTTGTTTCAGTGAGAGAATGAGCGGTGGTAGAGAGAGGAAGAGAAGGAGCAAGGCTAGCATAGTTGTCATCTTAACTATAGAGAGTGAGTGAGGGAGATTGAGTAGAAAAGCTATATATTGCTATTGTTCTTAGCTGTAATTATAATGCACACGTGTTACAAATATATAACCGGGGGGGGGTTGAGAAATAACTTGTTTGTGCTCTGTATGCCTTTTGTTGCAGTTAGGGGAACCGGAGGGAAACCTACTCCCTTGGTGGCTTAAGCCTCGTTTAGTCAAAAAGTTACTAAATTAGTCAAAAAATCAACAACTTATACCAAAAAGTTAAAGATTCTCTTTTCTCTCTACTTTTTGCACATCTTTTCGTAATTAGCTAAAAAGTCATTCCAAACATACAAGTTTTTTTTACCTACCTTTTTAGCCAAATAGCCAAAAAGTTACTAAATTAGCATGTTCTCAAACGAGGCCTTAGTAATAATGGCGTACACGTGACTGTGTGGGTTAGGCGCATGGTTACGAGTTCGATTCCTCTCTAGAGTCTCTTGGGATTTAAGTGGGGGGCCGCGGCAGTGGGATGCTGTGATTGCCCCCTCTGAGAATTAGTCGGTGGACGCAATCCAGCGATAGAAGCCGGAAACCTCAATCTAAAAAAAAAAGAAAAAAAAAGGGGAATCAGAGGGAAGAGAGAGACATGGGAGCAAGGATTCTCTCTTTGAATTTTTTTCTTGGCGATGACTGGACCTATTTTTACATTTAATTTTGATAATTCAAATTATTTATATTTTAAAATTTATCAAATATATCATACATGTAAAAAATTAAATTAATCATATATTGGAAACTACGGTTGCGTTTGATAGAGTTTTGTAAATATGATTTGAGAGTATGAGTTTTATTTTGAGTTTGTGAGTTGTGGAATTATGATTTGAGGGTAGAAAATTTATTTGGTTATGGTTTTTTAATAGAGTGTTAAATTGAGTTTTGAATTGAGTGTGAAATTGAGTTTTGAAAGTTTAATTTGACATGTGAAGTAAGAAAATTTGTTTGGTTATGAGTTTTGGAAAGAGTTTTCAAAACTTAATTCAAATTGTTATAACTCATAACAAAACACACTACTTTCACACTATTAAAAATTCTAATCAACACTCATAACTAAACTCTTTTTAAAATTCAATTAAAAAAATTTATTATTAACAAAAAATAACATTAATCAAATTTTTAATTGAAAATACTACAAAGGAAATAATTTTTTTTCAAAATAAATATTCAAAAATTTTAAATCATAAATATTTAAAAAATTTAAATAATCTAAAAAATTTAATAAGTAAAAAATTAAAATAAATATTCAAAAAATTTAAATCGTAAAAATTTAAATATTCAAAAATTTAAATAATTTAAAATGTTAATATTTTACATGTAAAAACAACTCTACACTCAAGTCATAACCAAACACATAAAACAAAACTCAATTAAGAAACTATTTTTAAAACTCATAAACAAACACATAACTCGAAACTCCATACTACTTTCACAACTCTACACTCAAATCGTAACCAAATACCTAACAAAAAAATTAAAATATTTAAAAATATTTTTATAAAGTAGAGTTTGAATTTATTTTTATAAAATATTTTAAAATTTAAAAAATTAAAATCATAATATTTTCAAATTAAAATATTTAAAAATATTCAAAAATTAAAAAAATCGTAACATATTTAAATATTAAAATATTTAAAATCTTAACAAAATTAAAATATTTTTAAAATATTTAAATATTTAAAATATTTAAAAAATTAAAATATTGATTTGAATTGAGTTTTGAAAAGAGTTTTGAATTATGTATTTGGTTATGAGTTTTGAAAAGTAATGATTATATTTTGAATTGAGTTTTGAGAAATAAGAGTAAAATTATGATTTGAAAGTTCAAAACAAACAATATACTCAAATCAATAGGTAAAACTATAATTTGAGAGGTTTACCAAACGGAGCCTACGTATTTGGATCATTGAACTAAAAATCATTTATTAAAAAAATGTAATAAATAGTTATCCGAACACATAGTTTCTGATATCCGATAGAGTTGATTTTAAGATTATGATATACTCGATAAATTTTAAAATATGAACAATTCAAATTGTCAAAATTTGATTAAAAAATAAACCCAATGATCTACCAAGTAAGGAACAAGAAAAAAATCCAAGAAGAAGACCCTTGCTCCCATTTCTCTCTCTTCCCTCCAATTCCCCTAATTGCAACAAATCTTTGAACAATCCTCCCCCTCTCCTTGTTCTCTCTCGGTTATATATATGTAACACGTGTGTACATATGACTATAGCTAAGAACAATTGCAATATATACTCCATCCGTCTCAAAATAACGATTCTTTTTGAGAAATTTAATATTTTTTAGTAGTACAATTATTACACTTTAAAAAAAATTAATTTTTCAAAATTACCCTTTCATGGTATATTTTTTGGAGAATATCAATGTCAAATTTGTACTTTTTATGTTGTTAATGAATTTAAAAGAATAGCAAAATAAAAAATATATATTATTTTTGTACTTGAGTTTTGAAAATAGATTAATATTTTGGGATGGAGGGAGTAACTTTTCTACTCAATCTCCCTCACTCTCTATAGTTAAGATGACAAACAAGCATACAAAACGACTTTCGGTCCAATCAATTCCTTATTCTCAAATGACCTTCGGTCCTCTTAATCAATCATACAAAATGATCTTCGATCCAATTTATATGTAAGATAACCTTAGGTCTATCTTATCAAATATTATAAACGGCCTTAGGCCCATTCCATGTCCTTGTCAAATATACCAAACGCCTTGGGCCCATTTTATATTCTCATCAAACATACCAAACGGCCTTAGGCCCAATATGTATTCATACAAAACAACATTTGGTCCAACCTTATAATTTGGTGCTTATCAATCATGTTTCAAGTCTTTTACGAATCAGACAGGTAAGATATTCATTCATAATACAAATTCATGAGTTTGAGAAAACTTACCACGTAGATAGTATTTAGAAAATAACATACATAAAAATATCTTTACTAAGATAATACTCTTAGTGTTCAGATGGTTGATTCATCATCGCGATTGACCCTACGCAATTCATAGCACATACGAAAATCGGGTCACAATACAATTCAATATGTCCTTTAATTTATTTCTTTCTTAGGCTTCTTTCTAACTCTTTAGTTCATTTAGAATGCTCAATGTATGCCTAAGAGTGTTCAAAAATGCAACATAACAGAAAGTGAGACATAAAACAACTTTTCAAAGTTTCCTGAAAAAGGGTACTTCGCTCGAGTGCAACATTGGTCCCTCGAGCGAACCCCTTGGTTTGCAAAAGTACTGGATCCTCTTATTTTACGCTCAAGCCAACTTTTTGGTCGCTCGAGCCAAGACTGAAAATAAAGGGTGGTCGGTCGAGCGGTCTTCTGGTCAATCAAGCCAACCTCCAATGTCTGCAAAAGTACTAGGAGCTCGAAATGTACGCTCGAGCGACAATTCCATCGCTCGAGCGAACTACTAAAATTCTAGAATTTCTAGAATTCTGTTTGAGCTTCAAACACACGTTCAAAGTTCCAAATTCATGCATGACTCACTCAAGTATGCAAGAACACTCCCAAATACATATATTTGAAGCTAGTTTCAACCTGTAATTCTAAATTCCATGAATTCATTAGAATTTAAATCGTAATCTTCATGTATGTGAACCATTTTTCAAATCTTGCATCCATAGACTTTCAAGCTGAGAATTGGACTCTAAAACATGATAATTCAGGCATGCATGTAAGATATAATTTCCAATTCATCATAATTTACAAGGTTTATGCTCAAAATTGAAGAATCAACACAAATTCATGCATGCTTGCCCAAAATTCATCGCAATTTCTACAATCTTTTCTCAAATCACATACTTAACTACACATCCTTCTTGAAGTCACATTTATATGACTTAAGTTCATGAATTTATATTTCAATCTCTTACATAGAGCCTTTCATTCTTCCAATCCTAGCAAGTTCTTGAGCGTAGCTTCCCAAATCTTCAATCTCCAAGTCAATATTTTTCAAGTTCTTGCCTTCGTCTCTCTAAAATGATGTTCTCTCTCTCTATAGTGTATAATCTCAGCACATTGATGAAGAAAAGCTCAATTCTATGAGCCTAAGCACTAATCTCATCATATATATAGTGGGTGATTAGTTTAGGCTAATTAAGCTTGATTAATGCTAAGCAATCTTACTTAAGTTTAATCAATTTAATCTAATCAATTTTATCCGAATCAATTTTTAATTAAATTTCACCATAAGCTTTAAAAATTATGCTAATCATAACGGTGTGGTCAATTTCGGTTTCTGTCGCCTCTATGGTTCTCAATTTCAGTTTATTACAGAATACAAAACATATTTTTCTACGATAAACACATATAAATTCAAAAATACATTTAATCACATACTTAGCATCCAAGTTCATATTAAACACATAATCACAAGTGTAATTAAAGATTAACGACATAACGTAGAACATGGTTGTCACAAATATATATATATATATATGTGTGTGTGTGTGTATGTGTATCCAAAATATATAAAAGTAGACAAATAATATCAAATAAATTATGGCCTGCCTATCTACTAAAGAAATGCATATCACTATCAGTTGTGATCATTTTTACTCTAGCACTTTGTACTAGTTGTTTTTAAATATTATTTATTAATTGTAAATACATATTTTACTTAAGCACTTGAATCTGGATTTATACGTTGGAGATATAGTTGTTCTAAAAAGTATCATTAGGCCAAGAAAATAGTTACAATCGGAGTACTTAAAAGAATAGACCCATCTAAAGAAGTAGAAGGGGAAGAATAAGGACCCGACTATTGGGAGGTACATGTTCAAGTGCCAGTCAAACCGAGCGAGAGCTTGATCCGAACATATGGATTTGTCAAAGTAATTGAACAAGCTATTGGAGCTCATGTTGCTTGGCCTGCTCCATTTGTGGTATATTTCTTCCATAAATACTAATTTTATTAACAAATTTATATTAGCTTAATATAATTTCTAGTACTTTTATATGTTTATCTTTTGGATGCAGATTTCG